TTCTTGGATTCTAAGCACAAATCCTATGGGAAATTACAATTCGCACCCTGTTCGGAAATACATATCCTATGGGAAATTACAATTCGCACCCTGTTCGGAAATACATATCCTATGGGAAATTACAATTCGCACCCATTAGCGCTTGTGTTTCTTGGATTCCAAGCACAAGTCCTATGGGAAATTACAATTCGCACCCTGTTCGGAAATACATATCCTATGGGAAATTACAATTCGCACCCGCTCGCACCCTCATTAGCGCTTGTGTTTCTTGGATTCCAAGCACAAATCCTATGGGAAATTACAATTCGCACCCTGTTCGGAAATACATATCCTGTGGGAAATTACAATTCGCACCCTTGTTTTTCTTGGATTCCAAGCACAAATCCTATGGGAAATTACAATTCGCATCCGGTTCGGAAATACATATCCTATGGGAAATTACAATTCGCACCCTGTTCGGAAATACATATCCTATGGGAAATTACAATTCGCACCCTTGTTTTTCTTGGATTCCAAGCACAAATCCTATGGGAAATTACAATTCGCACCCTGTTCGGAAATACATATCCTATGGGAAATTACAATTCGCACCCGCTCGCACCCTCATTAGCGCTGTGTTTTCTTGGATTCCAAGCACAAATCCTATGGGAAATTACAATTCGCACCCTGTTCGGAAATACATATCCTGTGGGAAATTACAATTCGCACCCTTGTTTTTCTTGGATTCCAAGCACAAATCCTATGGGAAATTACAATTCGCACCCTGTTCGGAAATACATATCCTATGGGAAATTACAATTCGCACCCTGTCCGGAAATACATATCCTATGGGAAATTACAATTCGCACCCGCTCGCATCCTCATTAGCGCTTGTGTTTCTTGGATTCCAAGCACAAATCCTATGGGAAATTACAATTCGCACCCTGTTCGGAAATACATATCGTATGGGAAATTACAATTCGCACCCTCGTTTTTCTTGGATTCCAAGCACAAATCCTATGGGAAATTACAATTCACACCCTGTTCGGAAATACATATCCTATGGGAAATTACAATTCGCACCCTTGTTTTTCTTGGATTCCAAGCACAAATCCTATGGGAAATTACAATTCGCACCCTGTTCGGAAATACATATCCTATGGGAAATTACAATTCGCACCCATTAGCGCTTTTTTCTTGGATTCCAAGCACAAATCCTATGGGAAATTACAATTCGCACCCTCGGAAATACATATCGGACAATTCGCACATACATTGGGAAATTACAATTCGCACCCTGTTCGGGGGAATTACAATTCGCACCCTTGTTTTTCTTGGATTCCAAGCACAAATCCTATGGGAAATTACAATTCGCACCCTGTTCGGAAACACATATCCTATGGGAAATTACAATTCGCACCCTGTTCGGAAATACATATCCTGTGGGAAATTACAATTCGCACCCTTGTTTTTCTTGGATTCCAAGGACAAATCCTATGGGAAATTACAATTCGCACCCTGTTCGGAAATACATATCCTATGGGAAATTACAATTCGCACCCGCTCGCACCCTCATTAGCGCTTGTGTTCCCTAAACCCTAGGCCCTAAACCTAAGGCCCCAAACCCAAGGCCTTGAACCTAAGGCCCTAAACCCTAGGCCCTAAACGTAAGGCCCTAAACCCTAGGCCCAAACCTAAGGCCCCAAACCTTAGGCCCTAAACCTAAGGCCCCAAACCCAAGGCCCTAAACCTAAGGCCCTAAACCCTAGGCCCTAAACGTAAGGCCCTAAACCCTAGGCCCTAAACGTAAGGCCCTAGACCCTAGGCCCTAAACCTAGGCCCCGAACCCTAGGCCCCAAACCCTAGGCCCCAAACCTAAGGCCCCAAACCCTAGGCCCTAAACCTAAGGCCCTGAACCCTAGGCCCTAAACGTAAGGCCTAGGGGAGGGGGGGGGGAGGGGCTGAAAATCGGGCAGCATTTCCTTCCCCCAAGCATGCCGGTAGAAAGGGGAACAAAAAAGAGGAAAAAACGCAAACCTCAACCGAATAAAAAGGAATAAAAAGGAATAAAAAGGAATAAAAAGAAATAAAAAGGAATAAAAAGGAATAAAAAGAAATAAAAAGTAATAAAAAGGTAGAAAAAGGTAGAAAAAGGCAGTAAAAGGTAGAAAAAGGTAGAAAAAGGTAGAAAAACGAAGAAATGGGGCATACCGTGTGTGTGTGTGTACAAATGAAAAAAATGGTGTTGGGAACCAGGCATGTCTTGACAGACAGGCAGAAACCGGAAGATTTTGGAAGAAAATTGGAGAATTCCGACGAATCTAGAAGAATTTAGAAGAATTTAAAAGCATGCAGCAGTCTTACGTAGAACAGGGAAGACTGCAAGGCTTGCTCCAGACACTCGCGCCAAAAGCATTTGCATGAATTTTGCATAAAAAAAACAAAAAATTTCCTCGCTTCGCGAACATCCGTATTTGTTTCAACTCTAGTACTCCACACACACTACAAGGCTTGCTCCAGACACTCGCACCAAAAGCATTTGCATGAATTTTGCTTAAAAAAACAAAAAATTTCCTCGCTTCGCGAACATCCATATTTGTTTTCAACTCTAGTACTCCACACACACTACAAGGCTTGCTCCAGACACTCGCACCAAAAGCATTTGCATGAATTTTGCTTAAAAAAACAAAAAGATTTCCTCGCTTCGCGAACATCCATATTTGTTTTCAACTCTAGTACTCCACACACACTACAAGGCTTGCTCCAGACACTCGCACCAAAAGCATTTGCATAAATTTTGCATAAAAAACAAAAACATTTCCTCGCTTCGCGAACATCCATATTTGTTTTCAACTCTAGTACTCCACACACACTACAAGGCTTGCTCCAGACATTCGCACCAAAAGCATTTGCATGAATTTTGCATAAAAAAACAAAAACATTTCCTCGCTTCGCGAACATCCATATTTGTTTTCAACTCTTGTACTCCACACACACTACAAGGCTTGCTCCAGACACTCGCACCAAAAGCATTTGCATGAATTTTGCATAAAAAAACAAAAAAAATCCTCGCTTCGCGAACATCCATATTTGTTTTCAACTCTAGTACTCCACACACACTACAAGAGATGCTCCAGACACTCGCACCAAAAGCATTTGCATGAACTTTGCATCAAAAACAAAACAAAATTCTTCGCTCCGCGAACATAGCAAAGGGTTTCAATTTTCCACACACATAGTCTATTACTCTGTTACTCTATTACTCTATTACTCTATTATTCTATTACTCTATTACTCTATTACTCAAATACTCTAGTACTCTATTAGTCTATTACTCTGTTACTCTATTACCCTATTATTCTATTACTCTATTACTTTACTACTCGATTACTCATATTTGTTTTCAACTCTAGTACTCCCACAAAGTGGGTGTTTTCACCCAAACCCTAAACCCTAAACCCTACACCTTTAGACCCGAACAACCGTAAGCCCTAAACCCTAAACCTTTAAACCCTGAACCTCGGAAGTTGGCACCGTAAACTTTGTGGGCCCCGACGCTGACCAATACTAGACCTAGAATCTTTAAACCCTAAACCTCGGTGTTCCATTTTGGCAGGTCCTCGAGCCGTGCCAGGAAGCCTAAACCATGAGCCCTAAACCCTAAACCGTGTTTAAGCCTCAAATTGAAACCCTCACATAATTCGCATTTCTGCCACAATCTTCCAAATAATTCGTTTTTCTTCAATAATCTTCAAATAATTCGTTTTTCTTCAACAATCTTCCAAATAATTCGTTTTTCTTCAACAATCTTCCAAATAATTCAACAATCTTCTTAAATCTTCGGTAGTGGCTGGGAAGTACCCCTGCCGAGAAGTACCCCTGGGCTCATGAATGAGTAGAGAATCCGGGATATGGAGGGATATTCACGAGCATGCTGGTCATCTGACGCTAATAGAAACCCCCATCTACAAACCAATTAGAATCAGGTACTCCCCCTAAACTCTAGAAAGCCTGAAGCCCCAAAACACCAATCCTCAGACACCCGCCCCCTCCCCCGCCATGAGAGGATTGAGCGGTTCTTAGAAGTTGCTCATGCGAGGTTGGAAGCAATTAGTAATAGGACCCTTCTGGTCGCTGCGTCGTGCTATAGGTGTGCGAGAAGTAGATGATTGTTATGTTATCGGCGTGTGTTTTTCGACATGGTGCACCCTTATAGTCCCTAACATAGTCATTTCACTATGTTAAGGGATACCTGAAACATTGTTCTAGTTCTCAAGGTCCCTATATTAACACTGCAGGGTTGGCGAAACCACAAACCCCCAAGCCCCAAAACCCCAAACCTTGAACCCCCAACCCAGGATTTGCAAGTGGGTGGTTGTCAAAATTATAGTCCCTTTTGGATCCTTAATATAGTACGGCACCTATTCTGTAGGGTACCCAAAAAGGGACCCTAATTTTGACAACTACCCAAGTGTTTCCGTCCGAGAAACTGCCGTCCGTAAGACTCCACCGGCCAGCGAATCACCGCGAAGCCGTTGAGGGCCCAATCTTCTGGGGTGTAGAGTCCAGGGTCTAGAGTTTACGGTCTGCGGTTTGGGTCCTTATTTTGGAGTGCCTATAACCCCTATAGAGTGCGATACTGTAATTTATGTGGTTTCACTGATTCACTTTTTGGCTGTTCCACGACTCAAAATATGCGGTGTTCCGGGGTGACATGAAACTTGTGGATTCTAGAGGGCAAATAAACGTATGTGATGGGGTTAAGTTATGGGCTTACGTGTTATATCGTAGTGTGAATGCGCAAGGACTGTTGTAATGGCTGGTACCTAGAATACATAATCCCAAATGCTTTTACCCCTCAGTCTACAAAGGAGTCTGGACACAGCGACATTGGGCCTTAGGCCGCATGTTCTCGAATCTCAATTCCGACGATTCAGCAGGAACGCCCTCAAGCCTCAAGCCCCTCGCCCATCCTAGACCTAAGCCGTGAAGCTTGAATGCCAAGCCACCCAAGCCACCAGGCCTGCGGCTTCGGCATCAATCGGGTGTCCAGGTTTCTGGTCGAAGCTCCGTGGCAAACGGCCATGCTTGCTGTCTTGGGCGGGGTTTACAAGTTGGGGTATGTAGGAGCCTCGAGAATTTGAACATGGTTTTGGAGCAAATATAGTCTACTGAAGTTAGTATAGGAACTATGTAGGGCACTAAATCCTAAATCCAAAATCCACAATAGTCCTGAAACCCTGCATACAAGTACAGACTCTTTTCTTTTGTTTTGTGTGTATATATGTATACACATTTGAAGCCGGGATCATCTTGTGTTTGCTCGCTCCATGAAGCGAGTAGAGTCTATGTTCCAGATTGGTTAAGAGAGCACGTTGCGATTCATGGGTAACATGTTAAACCCCGAACCTGTTGGTGGTAGAGCGGTAGATGGGCGGGGTTTATCAAATTTGATAAACCACCGAAAGCCAAAACCTCTAAACCCCAAACCAGGTACTATCCCTTACAGGAACCCTTCTACAGGTCCTTACTGACAGTAACCCTTTTGCAGGTCTTTCAGACAAACCCTAAACCCTAAACCCCTAAACCCTAAACCCCTGAACCCTAAACCCCTAAACCCTTGCCGTCTTCTTTGTTCTTGGTGTGGTTTCTTGTCTGAAGACTTGAGGAGCAGACTTCGGAGCTAGCGATCAGTCACCTGCCGACAGGCTGGCTGTGGTTTGGCGTTTCGGGTTTATAGGATTTGGGGTTTAGGGTTATAGGACTCATAAGTTTTACACGGTTTAGGGTTTAGGTTTATAGGATTTACAGGGTTTAGACTTTAGGTTTAGGTTTATAGGACTTATAGGATTTATGAGGTTTAGGGTTTTCGGGTTGTGGGTTTATGGGGTTTCGGGGGCAAGTGCAGGGTCGGGTTGGGTCCGAGAGCTTTAAGCCCGAATCGCTGAGCCGCGACGCCTCAGCGCAATAAAGTCAAAGTAGCGAGTGACTGGCTACTTGTTTTTAGGGTAGTAGCAGCGTAGGTTCCTGCTTGGTGGAGAGTACGACCATTACACCGGGACCTTCATGGGGCAAGCCCCTGACACCGAAAGCGCTCAACCTTAATCGTAAGGTGCCCCAGAAATGCATACCCCTGTCCGGCACCCCGAAGTTGAGCGGTCCTGCAAAGTTTGAGGTCCAGGATATGAGCTTGTTGGTTCAAGTTTAGGATTTCGGGTGTATGAAGGTTGAGTGGTTAAGGTTTATAGTGTTTAGCTCAGGGTTTATGGTAGAAAGATTGAGAGTTTAGGATTTGGGCGGTTTGGGTAGTAGGTAAAGCTTCAGTGGAGGCAAGCTTCATCATCGAGTAGTCCTCAAAGTTTAGTTATGATGCCGAGATTTATTAGGTGTCACAGCTTACATGGTCGTTCCGAAAATCTGCTGCAACTTTCTGGTTTGGAGGACCACTGTTCGAGAAAGAAAGTGTTTGGAATGGTTGCTGGAGTAACGTCGCTCTTGATCGCACAGGCTGGTGTGCGAGTGGTGTGCGCGCACGTGCGTGTGTGTGTGTGTGTGTGTGTGTGTCTGTGTCTATGAATATCTGTCTGAATGTGCTTAAAGGGGTGTAGATATTGCCTACCTACCTACATGCGTACATACATATGTACATGTTGTACATACATATATGCATATGTTGGCTATGCACAGACACGCGCACACAAAAGTGTGACATGCCGTAACTTAACTTAACTTCATCTTCAAAAGTGCAACTCAAATACTACAACAATAAAGTCCGAAGCACTAAATCCCAGTGCAGGCGCGCAGACGATGCTGAACGTTGTGTTTCAGATCCTCTATTTCTCCCTGATGTCGCAGCTCGGAGGGGAGTTTGCCGGTGGTTTGCATGCTAGGCGTGATAGAATTTTGATAGAATGGGCAACTTTCACCGTCTTTGGAGTATTGCAACCCCCATAAAATCTACATCCCAAAGGCTCACCTTAAGCTTCCCCGATACTGGACAAGGAAGTGCTACTGACAACGGGTCTGCAGGGTTGTATCCGGCCATTCTAGGCTCCTGTAGTATATAGTTTGGCTCTAAAGGGGTCCTACATAGTTGCTTCCGATGCAAAAGTATATCATGTTTCCTTATGTCGTTGTGTCTTAGCTTATCGTTTCGTGGAATACGTTGTCATAAAAAAGTTCTTAATTTGTTGGTAATACACATATGTTTTACTATGTTCCGTGCTCCGGGACCAGGACTTGGGACACTCGGGCTTTGGTGTTCTGGTGCTGTTACGCCTTCCGAGCTTTAGGCTATAGGGTCCAGGGTTTGGGGCAGGGCAGCAAGGTTGCAGCGGGGATAACACCGGGTTCGAATATTTAACAACAGTGTCCCCTTGTGATTGTGGCGTTCTGGTCGCTAGTGGTCGCTATACCTAGAACTGTACCTACAATAGACCCCCCCAAATCCAATTCCAACCGATCAAGGCTTCTATATTAATATGCGGTATTCTCTTGTCTATGGAGTTAAGTATGATCGACCCCAAAGCCCTATGCAAGATACTCATGTGTCTACATGGGAGTTTCTGAAAATAGGGGACCCTGATATAGTACCCTAAATAGTAGGATCCTCATTATAAGCACCGCCAAAATAAGCTACCTCCGATTTCTCGGAAACTCCCACATTATCTCGTCTTGGAGCTGAAGAGTTCGAGGCCTTCGGACGTTAAGAAGTTCTGTGCCTAGGGCAGAGCTTTCGAGGTCTGGGGTTCAGGGTTTTAGGCTTTAGACTTTGCGGGTTAGGATATGGGGTTTATAAGGTTTAAGGTTTTAGGGTTTTGACTTTGGGCGGTTAGGGTGCTCTTTTAAAGTTCAGGGTTCTTTAGGACTTGGTGTCATGGTTTTCAGGCCCTAGGCTGCCCCAAACCCTTAACCCTCAAGACCCAAGTCTACCACGGCGAACTCTCTTTTGCTCCGCCACGCCTGAATCCCGCACACGAACCCGGAAATCCCACAATTTTAGGGTTGAGGTCTTCGGGCTGAAACCTGTACTCTACACCCTGCAATGCCAAGGCCCCTCCAGCATCAATCCCAGTTGCATAAGCTGCCGTCTAGACCAACAAACCGTGGAAAGCCAACAGAGTGGTAAAAGCAACAAGAGACATTGACAAAGGGTGGCCGTGATTCGATTGGACGCGTGGTACTCTTCCACGAGGCATTGGCTTTCTTTGCGCAGAAGAGGACTTCTGTCCCTAAACCCGAGCCTTCAAAGTGACGTGCACTGACAACAACCCCGGGCCCGGCTTGTACTGCAGGGTTTGAAGCGTTTTAGATTCAGCTTCCCTAAACCCGAAAGCCTAAACCCTAAACCCTAGCTCTCCTAAACCCGAAACCTTTGTTTCCTGCAGCCGTGTCGGGAGTTGATGCAGAGCACCGTCAGGTTGGCTGGAGCTGAGGATGACAAAATGTGGGAGTTTGCGAAAATAAGGGACCTTAATATGGTACCCTAAACAGTAGGATCTTTATTGTAAGGACACCAAAATAAGGTACCCCCTATTTTCAGAGACTTCCATGTTTGTAGTTTCGAAGCCAGGCGACATGTACACGAGGCGGGGCTTGGACATCAAGCGCTACAAAGCGCCAAGAGTGGCCAAGGGCAAGACGTGGCAACGAGGCTATTGTGAAGATTCCACAGGAGGAGCGCGTGCCTTGGAATCCCCGTGTCCTTCGCAACCACCAGTCAGAGCATGTGCAACAGATCTTCGGGCAGCCTAAGTTGAAAGCAGCACCGAAGAAGAAGCCCGCAGCTGCGGGAAGCAGTGCGCGGAGAGGAACGCCGCACGCATCGTTTCCTAACTACGTTTTAGTTTGGATACACGAAGATCTTTTCCTCGTGCTCGGAACAAATCAATATAGGGCTCGGAATAATTAAACACAACTCATATCGCTTTAGAACCCATACGTACACATACATACACACATACATAGAATAGACATATATATATATATATATATATGTAAATGCATACTTATCTACACACCCGTATGTCAACGTGTTTCTCGTGTTTCGACCTGCTTGTATCTATGTATAGTAGAAGATACCCTCAAAACCTAGTCCTAACTGTTAAGGCCGTTATAGCTGGTCCAAGATCCCGAACTCTCAATCCCAAACCCCAAGAGCCCACGAGGCATGACAAGCACTGCCTTACACGTCTTACACCCTATGTGCCCTAAAACGCTCATTCCTGAAACCAAAAACCCGTCATGTTGTGAGCTAGCTTTGCCGTTTTCAGGATGATATGTTCCAAGTAAGTGTGGGGCTTCCAGAGCATAGAGCTGCAATGGCTGGGCCTAAAACCTGGGTTTAGGGTCCGGGGTTTTGGTTTAGGGCTGGCATTAAGCCTAAACTTTTAAACTTGCCCCAACCCTGACCCAAGCCCAAGCCAACGTTCCCACAGTTTCGCACGCAGGGCTCAACGGCAGCAGTATGCGGATGAAGCCGCCCGGAAACACGCACCTGGGCTTTGGGGGCCTAGCGTTTAGACCATTGTGCCGCAGGGCTTCAAGTTCCCATAGAAGTCAGGGCTTTGAGACTTCAGGATCTACTTGGAGGTTCATCGGTAGTTATCAGTAAGGTTATAAGTAGGGTAACTATAGTTGTAAGCCCTATTAGGGGGCTTATACCCCTAATTATAACTACCCCTGAACCTCCAGGTATGGAATACGGTTTGGGGAAGAAGCAGCCAAGCCGTGCCCTCCTCCTTGAGGGCTTTGCAATCTTTCAGTTTTATGGTTCATGGGGTTTCCTTGTCCCTGCTTGGAGGTTCATGGGTAGTTATAAGGGTTCCTTTAATAAGGGTCCCTTTAAAGGGATCTATAGGGATACTATAAGGGTATAGGGTTTAGGGCCTACTTGGAGGTTCATGGGTAGTTATAGGTAGGGTTAGAGGTCCCCAAATATTGCTTATAACTACAGTTGCCCTACTTATATCCCCACTTCTAACTACCCAAGAACCTCCAAGTGACATCAACCTCCGGTAAGGGTCCAAGTACCTAATAGTCATATGCACTCCCAAATAGTAACCTAGGTACCTAATTAAAGGGTCCTTTGGATGCCAGCAAAACCTCATCCAATTCCTAAGCCCTAAACCCCTAAACCTAAACCCCTAAACCCTAAACCCTGGGCAATCCAGAAGGCACCCCAAGTCTAAAGTAAACCCCAGAAAGTTGGAAACCGGATTGAGGGTAAGTAGTGCTGGGATTCCCTCAAATTCCTCTTAAGGGAGGCTTCTACTGTAAAGGCATGAAGGGACGGAGAAGCTTCAAGCAGAAAGCCGCGCCCCGAAAAGACCTAATACAGGGGCCTAAACAATTGGCCATACCGTCTTGGGATTCGTTAGTATGATATTTCTTTTTGGCATTATTGTTATTACTGTTACTATATGACTATTCTGGTTAATTATGAGTGTTAGTATTGTTCGTGTTTGTACGATTAAGGTCCTTATGTTTTTTGAAAAACCACAAATCCCAAGGATTCGATCTTGGAGATGGAACTGGAGGCCCTGGGAGTGGGGATGTTTCCTGAACCCTAAACCCTAAAGGTCCACAGGCCTGTCTCCTAAACTTTAGGGTGTAAGGGGTAAGGGTTTTAGGGGTTTAGGGGTATAGCTTAGTTCTTTCGTTCCGCAATTCTAACATTTAAACTTACCCAAAGGCCAAGGAACCTCCAAAACTAGGTTTGGCCCAACAACGTATAAAAGGCTGTCCAGGTGTCTCCTAAACCGTATGCCCTAGTTCTTTTTTCCGCAATACTAGTTACTAAGTTTACCCTAAGGGCCCAAAGGACACAAGAATAAGGTCTCGTACTTGGGCTTAGGAAAGACGTGGTGATTAGGTACTTGGATCTTTAGGGTTACTTGCGCTTCCAGATTTCCGGTTTCAATCCTTCTGGCCGTCCAAAGGTTCGCGCTAACCCTCGTATGGAAGCCCTGACTTCGTATAAAGAACTCTTAAAGTAAGAGGCCCTACGATATGAGGGTCGCAGCAATCAGTAGTGGCATTCCTGACGTTTCCTCAGTAGAATACAGTATACTATACCTCCCAATAGTCTAATCATTCCCCAATCGCTTATAGACGCCTGTCTAAACTCTGTAGACGGCTCGGAAAGTTTTTCCTTGCTTCTAATTAAAGTGTTAACCATGGCAGATATAACGGTAATCATGATCGACAGTGTAGTTGCTAGTATTTTTGCTATCATAATTGCTATCATTGTTGTGATCATTCTGTAGGTTTAGGGACTCAGGGGTTTAGGGTTGGAGGGCTCGGAGTGTAGAAGGCACCGCAAGATTGGTTGGGCAACCTCGGTTGAGGATTTTGGGCTTTAAGCTTTTGTTTGGGGCGGGAAGGGGGTGGGTTTGGGGCTATGAGGGGTGTAGAGGCTTAATCTTTAGCTATGCAGGTGGGTGCGGCTTCTGGCAGGTCTCGGTTTCCCAGTAGTCCCTTATTGCGCTTTTCTCTGGAGTAAACAGAGTAACCTTGATTTGTTATCAAGGAGCTACTGAGGAACCTGTAGGGGGGTCATATCAGGGATCTATAAGGATGCTCATTCAGCTTTAAGTGCAGGGAGTTTTGTAGCGCTCTAGAAGTGTTTGAGAAGGTTCTCCAGGGTGTTATAGTGCTTTACAGAGTTATAAGGGTCTTACAGGGATAACATACAAGGGCCTACATACTTCGAAAGGAGCTTGGGTGGTATTGTAGCATAGTTGTACCGGAACAGTGAGGTTTTGGTATCTTTCCAACAAGGCCTTACGATGTAAGGGACATGTAAGCAAGTTGACTAGTCTGCTGCCTACTAGTGCTGAAGGTAGAGTGGAGGAGGGAAGATGGGGACCGCTAGTAGTGTAATGGTGATCATAACAGAGCGTTTGCAAGGATCTTGTCTCCTCCCCCCCACTGTAAGAATCAGCAAGATTCGGGGGAACCCATTCCTTTCCGAAATGAAGGAGTTTGATTAGGGGTTCCTTCGTACCCCGAGGCGACCCAGAACTTGAAAGTCCATGTGGGAGCTTCAGACAAGTAGGGTTTCGGGGTTTGGGGTACTCACAGGCTCCACAGTAGTTCCATTCTGGGATTACCTTATAGGATTCGAAATATGAACCCCAAGAAGGAACCACTACGGGGCCTCGAAGTAAACCCGAAGCCCAAGCTTGGACGAAGAAATGTGAGACCCAGTTCCAGCGACCATGGTATGGCGCCTAAATAAATACCTATACTATTTGGGGGTTCCTTAGTATAAGTGTAGTATAATGGTCCCCAAAGCCCTAATCTGATGATTAAGGCCCCGATATCAGGTTGCCAATGGTCTTGGTGACACCATGACCCACGCGCTGGCTTTCGTCTATGGCTGGGGCGCCTTGGGGCGCAGATTTAGGGGTTTGGGGTTTAGGGTTAGGGTCTATTGTTTAGGGTTCTGGGTCTGTTATTTACAGTTTAGGGTTTTGGGTTTCAAAGAACTGCAGCAACCCTGCACTGATTGAGAAAACCTGGGCCTATAACACCAAAGTAATAGGATTCATATAAGGAACACTAATAAAGGCCCCAGGTTTCTTAATCAGGTTCCTACGTTATGCCTGTTGACCTTGCGCCGAAAATTTCAAAAGCTTGGCAGTTTAGGGACGCTGTCAGCGCGACTTTGGTGGTTCTATACAGGCTTGCAAGTGCTGGGTTCTGCGCTAGAGAGATCATGATACTTTGCGGGGGGGCAGATGAGATCTTGCTTGCGGTTTTGCTCAAGATAACCCGGATTAGTTGCTGTCAACACGCAGTTATTGCTTAAAACCTGAGCTGTCCGATCCTTTCAAGGAGGACTCAGTATCAGGGCCGGCTGCCGGAAGCATTTGGGGGGTTGATACATGGGTGGATGTCAAATTATGGTCCCTTCTTGGGTCCCTAGTATAATACGGCACCTAATATGTAGGGTACCCAAAAAGGCACCATAATTCTGACAACCACCCACATAAGCTTAGGCTAACTTTGTTAGGGGTCTTCAAATGCCATGCGGGAGCCTCATTGTTTCGATTTCATGCTCTCAGACCGGTGCGCAGTTTTGCGGCAGTTCCCACGTCCAGCGGCGATCTACAGCCATGGCACTGGCACGTTGCAGCATCCCTTTTCGTTCTACACTGTTTTCTTGGTTTTCCAGGTCAAGCCTCATAGCATGGGCCCTTGTAAGCATACAGTTTCCCAAGTAACCCCCTTAAAGCCCGAAGCCCCTCACTTTTGAACCCGAACGGCAAGGTTCCCTGGCTCCTCACACCCAGAAGCTTCCGCATGCTCAACGCATCTCAGGCGTCTCCGACACATTGAGGTCGAGCCTTTGGCTACTTTCAGTTGGGACGTCGAGAACCCCGAAGCCCTCTACGGTTTAGCTTTCACTTGGGAGCTCGAAAGCACCTACACCATCTACGGTGTAGGTCTGGCTATACAGTTTAGGGAGGGTTTGAGGTTAACCTCAGGGTCCATAACCCTGTGCTGCTTCGGGAGGGTTCGAGGGTCCTTGAGAACACCCCAAGTTCTCCGAAGCGGCTTAGGGCCTTAGTGCTGAAAGCTCCCCAGCCAGGCGTGCGCTCAGGACATGTGGCCAAGGCACGTTTGTGTGCATGAAGTCGGCCTTCGAGGCCCAAGCGATCAAAGGCCAGTGGGCCATGAGACGTCAGTTTTAGGCTGCAGCAGTACAGTGTCTTGCAGAGCATGACAAGTTGCAGCGCATAAGACATAACACGTCGGATCATTCGCTTTCCGTAAAAAGATTTGTACGCCAATTCGAGCGCTTGCTGTGTTGATGGCAGAATCTGCAGTGGGCGGGAGTGAAGCTGCTAACCCTTCGCGTCAGCAGGGTATGAGCCCAACGCTGCCCACCTTAGACGGCGAGGACTTAGGTCCGGACTATCATCGTGATGAAGCAGGTGATCGCCGTGGAATTGTAGATGCGCAAGGGCAGCAGCACTCCAATGAGTTACCCAATGGGATTGCAGGTCCCCATGAACCTGCGCCTTCAAGGGCGCCTATCCTTCGGGCAGCTGAAGGACGACCCCAGGCGCCTACTAGGACTCCGGATGGCTTGCAGGGTCAGGTTCGTGGAGAAACTTCGGGAGATCTGAATGCGTTCTTGATGATGGATCAGTCTCCAGAGGCTCCGCAGACTTTGGGATCTCCTGCAGAGCAACCGGCGTTTTCTTCTGAAGATGTGAGTTTGCGTCTACGTTCTGGGGAACCACTCTTCCCCCAGTTCGTGCCGTCGCCACTTCCTGGGCAATCTCCAGCTTCGGGTTCTTTGCAGGCATCTTCACGTGGTCCAGGGGGATGGTTTTCACGATTGGGAGATTACATTCAACGTCGTGTTGAGGTTACTTCGTGGTCAGCTTCACAGACGGCGTCTGGGATGCCGCAGCAATGGCCCGCCGGAAACTCATCATTGTCGCCTACGGCTAGGCCAGGAGCTTCTCATGAGGGAAGGGCGCCTTCGGTGAGTAGTGGTGGGGCTACAGCAGAGGCAGTGCAAGCAGAGGTAGCGCGTCAGTTGGAGGCCGCCATGGGAGATGTGATGCAGCGTTTGAGTGTCGAGAGAGCACGGACCGAGGAGGCTCGTGATGAAGCGAGGCGACTACGGGGACAGTTGGAGGCCCAGGAGAGCAGGATGACAATGAATCCGGAAACTCTTCGCCTAAGGGCTCTTGCTGAACATCCTCGCGGACGTGACGGAGGCCCTGGAATCCTCCCAGGGCCAGAAGTTCCGGCAGATCTACCTCCTCTTGGTCCTTCGAGTATGAGAGCGTTGCAAGATCTAGTACCTCCACGTGAATTTGAATCTTCTCGTGATCCTTGGGGAGTTGAAGGGAATTCTGGAGCACGACTTCGGGGTCCTGGGGCAGTGCCTGAGGTAGATAGAGAACCACGAGGCGCTGGAATCCTCCCAGAAGTTCCCGCAGATCTACCTCCCCTTGGTCCTCCTATCGAACATAGACCGCCAAGTCGTCCAAGATCGCAGTCACCTGGTCCGAGGTCGTTCTTTCAAGGCTTGTTCGGCTTGGGTGGTTCCAGAGAAGCGAGTGCTCAGCTACCGTATGAGAGAGCTGGGAATGGATGCGGTTATGATCAAGGCATACCACCTCCACCACAACTTCCCCCTCAACCACATTCACATCAATTTCATTTACAACCTCCTCAACCTCCACCAGCTCCAGGTGATGCCGTACGAGCTCCTGTTGCGACTGATGGCAGCGTTCTTCTTACGCTGGCAAAGGGCATTGAGGCATTGCTGCAGCAGAGCCAGACGAAAGGCACTGAGCGGCCTGAGGCTGTGAAGCCTGGCTATAGTGAACTTCCTCTACTACCAGATTATCAACCTGGCACTGGAAGCATCGATCTTCTCAGCTGGATAACACACATCGGTCCTATGATGGAGGATCTCAGTGACACCAGTGGGGCTTGGTGGGAAGCTACTATGAACGATGTCCTCCAGTGGTACCAACAGTTTGCATCGTCGTCGCCTATTGCTCGTCTCCAGCTTCGACCAAGACCGGCCACTCCTCTCAAGGCAGAATGGGCCCGAGTAGAGCGGCGAGCTACAGCGATGATGTTGAGCGCAGTGCCGAAGCAGGTCAGAGATGAGGTTATAGCCAGCGGCGAGGTCACGAGTTTGGGTTTGCTGTGCAAGCTATACTCGGTGTATCAGCCGGGCAACTTGCAGGAGAAGAGCATCGTCCTGAAGATGCTGGAGCAACCGGAAGAGTGCCAGACGGCGTTGGCAGCAGTGGAATCCCTGCGGAAGTGGAATCTCTGGCGGAGGAGAGCGGTGACCATCGGGATCACTGAACCCGACCCATCAATACTTCTTCGTGGCCTTGACCGCATCACTGGTGCAGTGGTCCGTGGAAGTGGGGAGTTGGCGTTCCGGGTGAGTTTGATCAGGAGTACCTTGCAAGTTGATGTTTGCCCCAGCACCCAATCGATTACCTCCTTCAGCCAACACTTGCAGGCCGAGATGGAGCAGCACGCGAGATTGGGAATGACCAAGAGCGATGAGCTTACGTCCTTGAAGGCTCTGGGTGCAGGGGCAGATCAGGGTTCTACTTTCTCTACTACACCACCACCACCTCCAACTTCAACTCCACCCGCAACTCCAAAACCACCCAACAACGTGTGTCGGTTCTTTGCCTCTGAGAAGGGCTGCCGTCGAGGAAAAGAATGCAAATATCCCCATACGTGGAACCTTTTGGACAAGCTTGTTCGACAAAAGAAATGCTTGAACTGTGGTGGTCAAAGCCACAAGGCCAAAGAATGCAGAGCACCAGGAGGAGGCCAAGCTGGACAAAAGGGAGCTTCGCGCGGAGGCCCAGTTGGGGCCAGTGATACAGGAGCTACATCGAGTGTTTCGCCTACAGCGGACTCCACTAGGAAAGTCAGCTTTGAGCCCAGCGAGATCCAGGCGAAGATGTTCAGGGTTTTGGACAGCATCAAGGATGTTCCGGTGTTCAAGCCTGTGATCGCTGCCCTGGGATGCTTTGGCTACGACGTTGAGGCACCGAATCGAGCGGCCAAACCGGCCCTGTTGGATTCTGGGGCAACTCATGCCTTGCGACTTCCTCGTGATCAAGGGGAGTGGAACAGCGCTCGGAGCGTTGGTGTTCAACTTGCGGGAGATGCTGTCGCGCTGATGAAGCAAAATGAGTCGGGCACCTTGTTGAGCACAGATGCGATGAGCCAGGTGATAGTGCCGCTTGGGAAGGTCATTACCAGTTTGGGTTACAAGCTGAGTTGGACGGCGAGTTCATGTGAGCTAGTGGGCCCAGGTGGTGATGTGTTGCCGCTCAATGTGAGGAATGGTTGTCCTGAAGTGAGTGAAGATGTTGCCCAATGTTTGATTAGGCAGCTCGAGGAAAAGCAGCTTCACCAACTTGAAGCGACTACCCAGACTTCGGTGAGGGCGATTTCAGAGCTCAAGTCCAGTTGGTGGGCATGTTTGAAGAGCTATGTGAAGTCCGGCAGCATTCTCGATGCTAGGACAGCGGTGGACAAGTCTGAGTTCCTCGATTACAAGGACCTGGTGAAGGATACCATGGTGACAAAGACGCCACGGCAGGGAATTTGGGATCTGATGAAGGTCCTTCGGGTGAACCGCAGGGGCAGAAAGAAGCTGCTTCGGTCAAGAAATTGGATCGTGCGCTGGGACTCACCAGCAGTGGAGCGCCCTAAGGACGCTATGCGGCACCTCTCCTTTGTGGGTTGCGCGGTGTATGTGAATATGAGCACTCTGTTGTCTGAGACGGAGTTCGAGGATGTGTGGAAGGTGATCCAGTGGGCTGCCTTGGATGGGCGGTTATGCACTGTGGTTGCGAAGGACGCCCCCGCGAAGCACCTTGATCAGGTTGTTGCGGGCCCCCATCGAAGTAAGGTCCACTTCCTTCATGCTCTAGCGTCGGCTGCTCGTGAGTGCCAGGGTGATGGGGCGGTCCACTTTTATGTCGAGGATCTCGATAGGGTTGCCTCTTTTCAAAGTCAGGACCCGACTTCGACCTCTACGACCTGGCTCCCATGGACTATGTGCAAAGAGTCGCGGGAGTATATGGAAGAGATGGGTTTGATTGATGTTTCGATTGCAGCCTACGATGGTGTTCGGCATGTTCGCGTGGCAAAGATGAGTAGTGATGCTGAATGGCGGCTACATGTGGCCAGGAATCACCAGCCTTTTCGGAGGGATTGTTCGGTCTGTGTTCGGAACAGCGCAGTGGGCCACCAGCACCGATCAACGTTGCATCCAATGGCTTACTCTCTTAGCGTGGATGTGGTTGGACCCTTAAAGGGCTTTGGCCGTTCTCCTGACGGGAAGTTCTTTAAGTACTTTGTCATCGGGGCGTTCCGTATTCCTGAAGTGGATGGAGGCGGAGGGCATGGTGAAGTGCATGGACATCCCATACCTCCACCAGACGTTGAGGAGGAGGACGAGCTTATTGCCGATGATGAGGTTGCGGCCGAGGATGCAGCTTTTGAGGGTGCTGGCGTGGGCTTGGAGGAGATTGACAAAGAAGAAAAGGATTGGAAGGAGCTGCTTGCTACGTTCAAGGAACCAATCTCCACGACTACGTTGTACTTTGCGACTCCGGTGAACAACAAGAAGGCGGCCACGATGCTCCCCGCGGTCCAGCGCATCATCACTGAAGTTAAGGCCCTGGGCTATCCGGTGACTCGTCTTCACTCGGATCGAGGAGGAGAGTTTCGTGGGAACCTGGTGAGGAAGTGGGCACTGGCGCAAGGAATGTGGCCTACCACCACGTCAGGTTCAGATTCGGCTGCCAATGGTGTTGCGGAAGCGGGAGTTCGCTATCTTAAGCGAAGGGCAAGAGTGCTGTTGGACAGCGCTGGACTGCCCAAGGAGAACTGGCCTACGGCTGTGCAGTATGCGGCGGCCCAGCAACGTTGTGAACGACTTGGGGCTCTTTCACCAATGCCAGTGGCTTACGGTGCACGAGTGTATGTGAAAACCAAGCGTTACAAAACGGGAGCTGTTGAGGACTTTGGCCCTCATTGGACGCGGGGTCGTTATGTGGGACCTTCTTCTGACATCAGGGGTGGTCATGTAATCCTCAAGGACTCGGGCACCTTCATTCAGACCACCCATGTGAGGATCACGAGAGACCCACCTTCGTTGGATGATGTGACGCCTACTGTTTTGGTTGAACCTGAAGCCCATGAGCACTCGCCAGATGAAGAACCTCCTCTCCCTCCACCTGATGTACCACCACCACCAAGGCGTTTGAGGTCAAAGGTTCCGGGAGTCTTCAAGGCCGATGCCTACTACCATGAGCGGGAAACGATGCCAGAAGTGAACCAGCAAGACAATGGCTATGAGGCATCGGCTGAGTCTGTGAAGTATCTACGTGTTGGGGAGATACAGTATGTTGAGGGTGTTGCAGAACAGTTTTATCAAGACCGATGTTTTGGTGAACGTGATTGTGCGCGACTGCTTGCTCTCTTTGCCGGGACTTGTGGGAACTTGAAGGTTCCAAGGGCTCCAGAAGGTCAAGGAATGGTTTTGGGTGCGTTTGTGCATGGAGGGTCATTTGGAGTCACTCGGTATGGCCGGGATCTTCCGTGGGTGGCACGCTACTTCAATGCCTATCTGGGGAACAAGATCAAGAAGAATTGGCCCGAGATGAATGTATCGTGGACTACATTGGCCATTCAATCAGCAGAACAAGTTCCAAGGCACAAGGACAGCCACAATGAAAGGGGCACCTACAACTATGTTCTGGAGCTGAAGACCGAATCCTTGGAGGGTTTGTGGGTCGAGAACCAGGGCAATGAGCGCAGGGTTGTTGGAGGCACCAAGGCCCGTGATCATCAGTATGTGGACATGAATGGTCGTTCTCATGAAGGGTGCCTGGTGGATGTTGCCAAGAAGCCTGCGGTGTTTGATCCGTTGGTCCCGCATGCTTATGTGAACGAAGAGAATGCCAAATGGTTCCTGTCCGCCTTCACCCCTCAGGGAGCCTCTAAGCTGAACGCCAATGACCAAGATTATCTAACCTCCCTCGGCTTCCCTCTGAGTCAAGTTAGTGATGATGATGAAGGACCAGCAGAAGAAGCTCTGGAAACCAGACTGGAGCTTAAGGCTATGACCTTGCCACCACTCGACCTGTTGAGTGGATCTCGCAGTGAAAGTGATGATGTGGAAGTTGCTGCTGTTGGTGATTGTGAAGCTACCATGTGGGATTGGGGCATGTACGTTGAGGAGTCGGCTGAGGAGGAGCAGGGTGAGCCAAGCAGTCCTTTGGTGGGCTTGCGCAGGGTCTGCAGTTCTGATGACCCAGGTGATGAGTCACCATGGCTTACCCGGGTCCCAGAGGTGTTCAACGAGGGCGAGGGGAACTTTGAGTTTAGATCGGACATGGAGCAGAATGTTGAGTACTGGGCCTCACTTGGGTTGTATGACGCCCCGCGTGTTGCGAAGGTGGAGCCTGAGTATGTTGAGGGCATTGAAGGCATTATTCAAAATGCTGTGGAGTCAGCTGTGCCTTTGAGGCATACTTACAATGTCAGCCCTTCCGAAGCCAAGGCAGTGATCTCTAAGTGGAGCCGGGCGATCTCCAAGGAGTTGGGTGTTGTTGAGCGTGGCTTCAAACGGGTGACGTCCGAGGAGGTTACCGACATGAAAAAGAAGTTCGTGGTTCAGGAGCTCCCCTCCAAGCTGGTGTACACCGTGAAACCCCCGGCAGTGGAGAATGAGGGCGAAGGCGAGGCAGCCTTCTGTAAAAGGAAGGCTCGCATAGTTTGTTGCGGCAATTATGCGGCCGAGGACCAGAACGAGTTGTTTGCGGGCGGCGCTGCCGCCGAGAGCCTGAGATGTGCTCTCACGTATGTGGCCAAGCGCCGGTGGCGCTCCGGGATTACCGACGTCACTGGTGCATTCATGTTGACTCCGCTTCCGCGTGGACCTGGAGAGACCATATATATTATAAGACCTCCAGCTGCCTTGGTCCAGCTGGGGTTGGCCCATCCTTCAGAACGGTGGATGCTGACGCATGGAATGTATGGCTTACGTCAATCCCCGAAACTTTGGGCCTCTTTTCGTGATGAACATATCTCCGGTCTCAAGATAGAGCAGGACGGGAAGCAATGGGATGTGAGACAGGGTCGTGCTGAACCAAACCTTTGGATTGTCTACGAAGTTGGTGCTCCTGAAGGCCGTGGTCCCGACGGCCTCCTTTTGCTGTATGTGGACGATATCCTCCTGGCAGGGCCCTTATGGTTGGTGATGGCTATCTCGGGTAAGATTGCCAAGAAATGGAAGACATCAGAGTTGGACCTGTTGTCGTTTGATCATGAGATCAGATTCTTGGGTTGTGAGATATCCACGAACGAGGAGTTCTCGGCGATCTACCTGCACCAGCGGCCCTACATTGAGGAGATCCTGCGTCACCATGGCACAGCAGATACCGAGCAGTCGCCCATTCAGGCTCCAAAAGAGTGGGTTACGTTTGATGCGTTTGAGGGCGAGGACAGTGGATGTGATGATGATGTCAAGCAGGCCCAGAAGGCCTG